ACACTTAGTACAGACAACTCTACGGTCAAGAATGAGTTAAGTGCTAAGTGATAAGGAAAAGTGAAGTGACAAGTGCAAACTAACATAGTGAAACGGTCAAAAGAGTTAAGTGTTAAGTGACAAGAAAGAGTTAAGTGACAAGTGTCAGCGTCTGAGCGGTCGCACCACCTGTCAACAGGACGATTTTCACTGGCCAAACAAAAGAGGTCAAACAAGGGAGGAATAGGCCATCTGCATGACCTAACACATAATTTGCAAATTAAACAAGACAAGGCACATTGCCTAATCCCTACAAAAAAAACAATAAACATCGGTAACAATAAATACATTAGAAAGTCAATACTAACCAAAAAAACAATCTTCCCAATCAGCCTATCGCGGCCATACACCAAAGCTGAGCAGGGCAATAAAGCTGTCAACAAAACAATCCAAGTCTAACAAAATCGAGACCAGATAAACATTTGACACTTAGAACATAAATAACACTCATAAATTAAGAAAACATAAACAAAGTATAAAAAAGCACTCTAACCAAACCCCATGGATTTTGTAAACACATTAGACTTTACACTAAAAGTAAAAAAAATACCCCCACAGACACAACAATAGTAACGAAAACGGCCAGGATCTCAGTAACCTGGCACAAATGTTTAATTTAGGAATTCATAACACATTCTCAATCTCCAAAATAGTCCTTACCACATGGAGCAACAAAACAACCTCTCAAATCGACCACATGCTCTGCAACAATACATCTGACTTTTCTTCAAAAATTGTTATGCCACGTGGCCACTTGACCTAAAGACAGATCATAAATTACTATACTGTGTAATAAAACAACTACCTGCTCAAGCCGCCACCGACAAGCAAGCCACCACAGACAAGCCGTTAAATGGTACATAGAACGCTTACATAACCCCAAAGACAATTTAAACTTTAAGACTGCGGTAACTAACATCTTACTACATTACACTTTACATTATGTGTTTTATCATATGACTTGTCATATGATTTGGTCATACTATAAATCATATGATTTGTATTTGAAATGATCTTCAGAAGTCTATGTTTACACCATGTGACAGCTTATGATAGAGTTTATGACTTTAGTTAACTGCTTGTCATGATGTTGACAGTTTAAAAGATGATGAAGGACGACACTTTATTAGTTATTGCAATGTGCCTTATAGTGCTAGTGCAAAAACGAAGACACGTATTATTGTGTAAACGCAAAAAGAGAAGAGTGAGGCAGTTGTGGGCACGTAAGTGGCTTCTTCGGCGGGACTATGGCTATGGTGCTACAAATTTCGTGTTTAAAGAATTAAAATATGAAGATCCTACCAGCTTTAAAAATTATTGTAGGATGTCGTCGAATACGTTTGACACACTTTTGTATAAAGTAGAGCCTTTATTAAAGCGTCAAAACACGGTCCTTCGTGAAAGCATCTCTGTAAGAACTCAGTGAGTAATAATTTATTTATTTTATTTTAGGCTATAATTAAGTATCTATTGCAGATTACTGGTGACTCTGCGTTATATTGCAACAGGTGACAACTTCCGAAGTTTAAGCTATGCTTTCCGACTTTCAGTACCCGCACTGTCACAATTAATTCCGAAAACAGTGAATGCAATTTATACGGTTTTAAAAAAAGATTATTTACGAACCCCAAAAACAACGAATGCATGGCAAAAGATCGCCAGCCGATTTGAGACCATGTGGAATTTTCCAAACTGTCTTGGAGCCCTTGATGGCAAACATATTGCATTTCGTGCAAGAAAATCGGATGGTTCCTTTTACTACCACTACAAAAATTTCAACAGCATTATTTTGCTGGCTTTTGTGGATGCCGATTATAATTTTTTATATGTGGATGTGGGATGTAATGGACGTGCTAGTGATGGTGGGGTGTACAGTAATAGTACCTATTCAAGACAATTTACTTAATTTTCCCCAAGATACCACTTTACCAAATTTGCAAGTCCAAGTACCGTTTGTTATTCTCGCGGATGATGCATTTCGGTTATCCAATCGAATAATGAAACCATGTGCACAAAGATCAACTATAGACTAAGCCGCGCTCGACGCGTTGTGTAAAATGCATTTGGAATACTTGCGAACCGATTTCAGATATTGCAACGAGACATCCGGTTAGATGTTGAAAAGGTACAAAGTATTGTTTTAACGTGCTGTACTCTCCACAACTTTATTAAAGAAAGGGAAGGTAAAAGAGTTTACCTAAAAGGCGTAGACATTGAAAACGTGAATAATGTCTCATTTAGTGCAGGAGATCGGAGGTCCAATGTATGTATGACAGATTTACCAAGATGTAGTGTTAATCGTTCTCCTGACGATGCAATATCTATTAGGAAACGCTTTGTTCAATATTTTAATAATGTAGGTTTTGTATCTTGGCAATGGGAAGCTATTAAAAACTTTAATTTCTAGAAAACTGTTTTATTTATTTAGGTTAATAGCATTTGGTGGGTGATCAACATAAAGAATTGTCGCTGTCTCGTTCTGTTTCTTGATTGTCAGCCATTTCTTTTTGCTGTCGTACAGGATTTTGTTAATCTCATGTTTGGCGTCAGTTAAAACGTCTTCATCGTCTATAGCCCGCAGTTCCCGGCCACATAGTCAGCAAATACTTCAACATCACTTTTGGAAGTTTCCACAGTTGATGAAGCCGTTAATTTCGACCCTAAAATATCAAGCATGGAAACGGTCTTTGTCATAATCGGATCGGATATTTCCACTTCCTGGCGCTTTCTTTTCCCTCTAGAGGATTGTGGTGGTATACTCTCGGTTACACTTCTTTCGGTAGAGGAAGAATCACAACGGTATAATGTCGTCGCCTACCAATAGGTCCAAAGAGCTTTTAGTTTTTCGTGTTTTTACATGAGGTATCAAAAACAAAAGCTTTTCGTACCACCAAACTGATGGCTCGTACATTTCTTCTGTACCAGCACCGGACTTTTGGCTGTCGTGCATTTTGGTGTTCTCGTGTGAAAACGACTGCCTCAAGCTGGTTAATTTTTTCTAACATCGTCTACTGTTACCCGCCCATCAATGTATTTTAATTCATCCGTAATTTTCTGCAGTTTATAAGTCCTGGCGTGTTTGTTGCTATAAAACTTATGTTTTGTGTCGTATAAACACGAATAAGTTTCATATTGCTCTATCAGAGCTAAAGTTAGGTCTCTGGACCACTCCATCTTCAAACCACAACATAATTAGCTATTTAATTTAAAAATACATGGAGTGTAACTTACCTTGTTTACCATTTTAACTTAAGAAAATTAACACAACCACTTTGACTTTGACTTTGACGTTAAGCTTTTAATAAAGTCAATTATAAAGGTAGTGAAATTTACGGTAATCATATGAAATATCATTTGAAAATAGATACGGTTCTAATTGCCAAAATTACTTGTGATTCCTTATTAATTGCTATGTGACCGCACTTATGAGTACTTTTAAGTGATAAAATCATACAGTGTAAACTTGTTATATTTACATATGACCAAATCATGTGACAAATCATGTGATAAAACACATAATGTAAAGTAACCCCGACCTGGAAAAGGTATCAGAGTTAGCAGCCAACCGCACGCTACCAAAACCGACGGAACCAACACACGACAGCATAAAAAAGCGCAAGTAAGCTACAAAAAACTATCAGGAACCACTCACACAAACCAAGCACAAAAACTGCCCAGGCAAAACGCGAGGCAAAAACAGCAACACGGCTGGCCATACGCGAACAAGACATAGCGAAAAGCTACACTTTCTTTAGAAACCTTAACGACTACATGCTTCACATTTCATGACAAATTACCACAAAACATGCACTTCTCACAAATTAACAAGACCAGTTGGAAGCAACTAAGGCACAATAAAATAAAATAAAAAAAAAACAACTGACACACTTTACCAAGTACAGAACACGGACAATGACAATAACGAACAAGACGAAGACCTCGACTAGGAAACTACACCCCTGCAGCGAAATAACAACTCCCCAACTCCAAATATTAATCCCAAATGTTTGGAGTAATACTAATCGACTGGTCTAGGGGGATTCCGCGTCGTACTTAGTTTTAAGTCGGCGTAATTGTCCTCCAAAAACCACCTCCCGTCCCTCACCCTCTATACCCTACTGGGCGTATAGCATCGGCTCGGCGAACCCGAGAATGGCTATTAAAACTATTCGCATGTCGCTCTCGAGCCCCAAATAGGGGACAGTACGAAACGCAATGGACATTCGCACCCAGCAAACGCGGGTGAAGCCGTGCAGTTGCTGGGGGCGAACAAAAATCGGCGTAAGTAAACATAGGCCTGTACGGGGTCCGGGAGTGATGAGGCAATGGGGCTGGTTATACGTCTCTTATACTCATACTCATACTCAAACGCATTTTGGAGGTCAAGCAAATTTTGTAGATATTAAATTAAATGTTAATAATATTGGACAATTAATTGATATGAAGTAATTTTATCGCGTTTGAAAATATAAAAATACAAAATTTGATCTAAATCATTAGAGAAATCATAAATTTTTTTCCATATTAAATCCTCCATTTTTTTAGTATAAATTCATAATCAACAAAACTAAAAATATCCAAATACAAAATTTTATCCAAATCGTTAGAAACGTTTTTGAGAAACCAATTATATTTATACGTATACAAAAATTTTGTCTAGAAAAATTTATAAAATAGGTAATAAAATAATTAGTATAATATTCATATTTATTTATTAAAACATAAACCCTTTTAAACATCTTTGGTAAATATTTAATAATGACCTTATTTAGGTTAAGAAAACAATATTTTTTTAATATACAATATACAATTTTTGTGAAAGTCATCAATGTTTTATACAGGTTATCTAAAAATAACTCTGGGCACCCTATATAACTTCAACAAAATCTACAAGAAATTAACAATGCGTTCTTATCGTAAAAAGGACATTATGAAAATTATAAAATACACAAAAAATTAAATTAAATGATTGCCTCGGATCTAACGTTAGTAATTTCGCTGGCGTTGAATAGGGATTCTTTAATAAACGTGGCATCAGCGGTTACGTGGTTGTTAATAAAATTGGCAACATCGCTATTCGACAAAATACTTAAATGGTCGGATTTAAAAACATTAACTTCGATTTCTTTGCCCAAAAATTCGGAAAACCCGTAGTCTTCCTTAAGCCCGACAACACTTTGTATGGTTGGTTTTATTAGTGTCACCTTGGACTTGAGACTCATTGGTTTTAATTCGTATACGTTCATAGCGTGGACTCTCTTAAATGAGCCATCAAGCATGGATTTTATGTGAGCGATTGAGTGGACTTTTTGTATATTTACCACCTTTTCTGAAGCTTTAATCATGTCTTCGATGGTTTCAGCCGCAATTATCTTTTCCTGAAATATAAAAAATGTGAATCTGTGACGTTTTAAGCTTGTATTTTATTACCATCTTTTGATGTCTTACCTTGTGTTTCTCTACAACATTCTTGGTAGTAATTTGGTGTAAAAAGTGCAACATCAACTGTTTCTGCCAACTAGTCTTGTTATCGGCTTGCAGTAAGAAACTTAGAGTCTTCAGATAAGCAGGGGAGCCATCAATGCAGAACACTGAACCATTGTAGCCTTTTTCCTCCAGAATTTTGACTGTTTCTAAGGCAACCATGGCTCCAAAGGAGTGAGCTATGATGATGAATGGTTCTGATTTATTGAAATAATTCTCCACGTGCTAAAAAATGAACACACCTAGATAAAATGTATTTATTTTACCTGCATAGTACCCGCAGTGGGGCCGCACGCGTTCATTAAGGGTTGCGGGAGTCCTTAATAGACTTACATTATAGATGCATGTATGATGGTTTGACAATTTTTTGCGCAAAAGCAGACATGCTCTTACATGAAAGCGCGGAATAAAGTAGGTACTGAATCTACAGGGTACACCAAGTATCCTTTTATATATATATCTATATAATACATCCCTGGGTATATGGGTATATATATAATACATCCATGGGTATTTTTTTAAATAAATATAAGAAATATTCCCCAAAACCAAAACAAAACACAAAGTGCTTTAAGTACTTTTCTCCAACGAAGTGTAACTAAATCTAATTGCTACATCTACCATATTTAAACTAATTATAAGATAACGTTAAATGAACCGTAAACGGACACAGTTTACTAAACCGTGGACCTTAACCGCTTTAGTGAACACGTCAAGAGAAACTAAAACTAATTTATCCAAACTAGAGTTGGGTACCGGTCCGTTATCGCTATTTAAAGAATTATTTCTATTCTTAAAAAACTAAAAGAAACGCGTAATTTTTAAGTTAATTAATCTTCAAAATCTGTACTCAAGTGAACTGGATGAATGACCATTGTGCCTGTAACTATTGGACGTACGACAAAAAAGACTGTCAATCTGTCAACCGTTTTGCCACGTTGTGATTTGAGGTTATTTATCGTAGTATTGGTTGATTGCGTCACAGTTCCGAAAAAATTCATAATTATCACGTTCTGTTTTCTTGTTACTTTGCCACTGTAATACCCGAAACGAAAAATCATGTTTTATTATAGTACCTTACAGATTGATTAGGGTAATAATATTTTGTAAAAGTACCGTTATGGTGGTAATGATTTAAAATACCAACTATCTGAGCATAAGACTAATTTGATATGTGTTTTTCTTGATTAAAAACTGTAACACGCAAAAAATTTCGGGTGTTACAACTTTTTTCATATGTCTATATATGTGTGTATTGCTTGAAGAATGCAATAAGTAATATAAGGCTCTTTCAAAGCCCCACTAACGCCGCCATCAAGGGCAAACAATAGAATTGATTCATGCTGATGTATGTGGACCGATAGAGACTGAATGGAGCAAGATATTTTTTATTATTAAAGGATGATTATTCTTCATATAGAAATGTGTATTTTATGAAGCATAAAAGTCTGAAGTTAAAGAAAACATAGAAAAAAGTATAAGGTTAGTGACAATTGTCACTTCTTAAAACTTTTACTTTGTTATTTGTCTCTTTTTCAATATTTATGAATTCCAGACCATTATTATTTGAAAGTTTTGGATCAAAAATTTAAATATGTATTCATAAAAAAAAAGATTAAAATGGGATGTAAAGAACAAACTTGGAATGTTTATAGGGTATAATGATGAAGTGAAAGGATGTAGAATATATTTTACTGAGCAGAAAGTTGAATTTAGAAGAGACGTTATATTTTTTCCAGAAAAATTAAATGCATGGGAAGCTGGAAATGTATACATTCTATAGAAAAATATATAGAAAGTCCATATCATGATATAATTAATGAATAACCTGAGAATAAAAATTAACAAGAAAACGAAACAAGTATTTTGGAAGATGAAGCAGTAACTGAAAATGAAAATAGATATTTGTTAGAAGAAATAGGCAGAAATCTATAAAATTAAACGAGTATGATCTTGATACAAGTTTTTTAACCATTCTTATTGAAGAGAAACCTTATAGTTTTGAAGAAGCTATGCAGAGTAAAGAATCAAAACAATGAAGAGAAGCAATAGAAGCGGAAGTAAATGCATTAAAAGAAAATCAAACTTGTGAATGTGTAAAGGATTTAAACGAAAATAAAGCTATAGAATGTAGGTGAGTATTTAAGAAAATGAAAGATGAAAATAATATTAATAATTGTAAAATATAGGACTAGGTTAATAGCTAAGTCCTGGACCTAGACCACACCAACATACCATCTCAAATCGACCAGGCAAAAAGGGGTGGGTCGTCATTTTTCAACGATTTTTTTTACAGTTTCTCTACCGAAATGGATGAGACCCATATTTTTTCTTTTTGCATAAATTTGTTTTCTTACTACCTCGACTCAAAATACGTTGTTTCGTCCCCGATTTCACGGCAGAAAGTTTACGTTTATTGCATTGGTCAAGCTATACGCGCACACTCTAATAGCGGGAGTAAAAATTTTTTAGTCGTGTGCTTAACATTCAAAATTCGTACTGCCAACATGAGAAACACAAAAATATGACAGTTTTAAACCATAATTTTGCAATTATAACAACAAATAAACAATTTATGTTTTTACTTTTTTACTTTTTATGTTGTTTTAAGTGTTTAATGGTACTTTTATTTGTTATAAAGTAGTAATTTGTTAATTAAAATACAACCTTTAATTTTTACTGTATTGGCACCGCTGAATTACCATGGCAACGCTACAGTTTGATTGATTTTGAATGTAAACGTCAGAATTAAATTAAACGTCAGATTTTAATTTTGACACAAGTTTTTTTATATACATTTAATTTTTCCCGTATTTTCTGCGGGGTAGCAAGAAAAATAGTATACACTACACGGGCAGAAAGTGTGAGAGCCCTGAACTGCGCGCCATGATGCCCTCGGCTTCGCCTCGGGCGTCATGGCGCGCAGTGCAGGAATTTCACACTTTCTGCCCTTGTAGTGTAATATACTATTTGTTCACCCGTAGAAAATTTTTGAAAAATGGACAGAACCATCGATTTTTCTCTTTTAACGAGTGACATTTTTTATTGATAACTTGGCCAAAAATGTTTCGATCGTTACAATTTTTTTTTAATTGTAGGTAAATGATTACTACATATCAAAAAAATTAAGTAAATTCACTCAATTTTTTTAAATTGTTTTTTCTAAAAAAAGGCAAAAAAATATTGACGTCAAAATTTTGACATTGCCGCATTTTGGTGAAAAGTTCGGATTTGGCTAAATTCGTCCTTTCGGAATTATTATTTTTTTAATGAAAATGCCATTTTATAGCAAATTCGTGGTTCATCGCAAAAATTTGGTATTTTATCTAGGGTCATGAAACTGGGTTGACCTTTATAAAGTGTAATTTAGAACTTTTTGACATATTTAACATATTTTTGTCACTTCTGGTTTCACCGGAAACGGTTCTAACTTTTTAGTTTTTAATGAAACACCATATGCATTTTTACATATTTCGATTCAAAATAAAGTTCTGAATACATACATATGTATATCATTGACAAATTTTGTCAATTTTTGACTGGTCAAATCATTTTTTGATTAAATTTTATTTCTATACCTAAAGTGCATTGAATTGGTTTTTCTGATTTATGTTGGGCCAAGTAGCCTGGAAAAAATAAAATTTTATTCTTTTTTTGCAATGCTGGTTTTTAGAAGCTTTAAAAAATTAAAAAACCATACTTTATGGTCATAATAAAAATACACTTTTTTAAAATTTGATGCCAAATATTAATGCATTTTTTAATAATATCGCTTTTAAAGTCTTAATTAAATTTGTATGTTTATTAGGTTTAAAAGTGAGTACAGCAGTAAATAAATTAAGAAGGCTTTCAAAACCTTCTGTTTAAAAGAAGTATGAGATTTGACATTTCGTTAGTTTGTTTTGCTTTGAAAACATATGCTAAAACTTTTTATAAAATAAAATAAAAATAATAATTGAGGTGGTTAGAATAAAACGGGTGTAAGTAATTGCTCAACTTTTTTTGGTTTTAAATCTTCTAAATAAAAAATGATTATAATAATATATTATGTATCACAATCATGTTATGCAATAAGAAGACTCCGTAGCATCACTAAATTAAATATTTTAAAAATGTATTACTACACTGAAAAAACAAATCTGTTTTATCAACCAATAAATTTTTTGTTGCAATTGTTTTTGTTGGTCCTAATAAAAAATTTGTTAACCCAAGTAAAGTGTTTAATACATTAGTATTTGCAACAAAAATGAATTTGTTGGAAATAATTAGTTTACCCTACTGACAATACAATTCATTAATATTAGAACCAATAAAATGCCAGTATTCCATAGTGACGTATTTTATCACAGCGGCAATAATTTTTATCATCTTGTTTACACGTTACTAAGAATTTTGACACTTTTTTTGATTTAACATCTGTTGTCATTTAAATTTTGTATTTGATATATATCAATAAAATAATGAATTATAAACTCTAAAAGATTGATGGGTTGGTGTAAACGATAATGAAATTAAGGTAAGTTTGAATAAATAAGGTTTATTAAAGTCTTTTTATATTTTAAAGCACATTTTAATTTTAAATGTCAATCTGACAATTTTTTTAATTCCTAAAATTCATTATATTTTCTCACTAAATATAACTCGTGGTATGATTAATTATCGATGATATTTACTCATTAAAACCGAAGCAGCACATTTCACTCGTCCTGCGGACTCGTGAAATCTGCAGCTCGGTTTTAATTCGAAAATATCATCGATGATAATCATACCACTTGTTATATTATGGGTGACAATATGCGTCGCCGCTAATAGGTATCCTTAGTAAACATAACAAATATGTTTTTGTTGTCAATTTTCGCCCAAAATTGACATGATGTGACATTGAAATTTATTTTATAAAGTTGACCGACTTGGTGCCATGGTTAAAGTTAAGTCTTGGTGTCATAGTGATTGAATAATAAAAAAATAATTTGTCACTGTCAAAAAATTTTTGTGCAAATGCTAGAGGAAGCAGGTTCGCGTTAATTAATTTTTGTGCATTGGGCGTTATGGATGAAGGAGTAAACCAAATATTAACCGAGTGGGGATTTTCTTCATTAGAAAATACTTTTAAAGGTACCAAAATAATTTTTGTTAAAAAAAAATCAAACAATATTAACCTATACCTACACAATATTGTTAATGCAACTCTTTTTATTAATTAGTATTACATACTGAATGAGGTGCTTTAACAATATTGTGTAGGCATAGGTTAATATTGTTTAAGTTCTTTTAACGAAAATTATTTTTTGGTGATTAAAAGAACTACCAAATGTTATAACAAAGCAACAATGTTGTAGTTACTCATTACCATAGCTTTTTCAACAAATAGATTTATAATGAAAACAAATGCAAAAAGTTATAGAAACAAATAAATTATTACCTAAAATAAATGTAAACTGTTTTAACAACAAAATATTATTGTATGAGATATCAATAATATTAGTTACTTTAAACAAGACGCCATAGTTTTGTCAACAAAAAATATTAGTTACAGTAACATATTATGTCTCTACAAAAAAATTTGTTGTTGTAACAAAGATTTTAGTTGAGGCTATAGCTACAAATAAAATTTGTTGGCGCAACTTTTTTTTAGTTGCTTAAACAAATTATTTTTTTCAGTGTATGCGCATGTCCATTCTATTCTAATCAGAATCTGATTAGAGAATGGACATGCGCATAGTAATACATTTGATACATCTGATTATCAGATACGGAATAATAGCCTGGGGTACCTCTGTAAATATTAATAGGGTTTTTAAATTGCAGAAGAGAGTTTTAAGAACCATGTTGTTTCTGAGCAATAGTGTTAATTGCAGGAGTTTCTTTAAAACGCCCTTTATCGTACATGTTTCCATGACACTAAGTGACCTTTTAAATACACATTGACGAGTTGTGGCTTTATGGCGTTTTAGTCACGGGATGAAGTTAGCAACAGGTTTTTAGTCACGGGCTGAAGTTAGTTTTAAGTTAGTTGACAGTTGTCAAATGTCATACAATGGTTAAAATAAATTGCTACTAAATGTGAAAATTATTTTATTATCTCAATACAAAAATACAAAAGTATTAAATAGTTTCTCAACGCCAATATTTAACGTTTTCATTTTGCCGGCAGTTAACTATAACTTAAATTCGGACACGGACTGTAAAGTGCTCATAAAACATTTTCTTTACTATCACTGTGAAGAACTGTAAATTTTCAAGAAATACATTTCGATTTGTAACCTTTATAATCTGTGTTTATAAAAAAATTGACATTTGACGGTGACACACAGATTCCCCTATTGTTTCATAGATGCCGCTCTATACAAATTTTTGATTTAAATCATTTTAAGATAATAATAAGTATTTGTCGTAGAAAAAGTAAAGTATGCACCTCGTTTATAAACTTTTCTATACACTCATTAATTTAAGAAATCGCTCGCAAGCTCGCTCGTGCCTAAATTAAATTAGTGTATAAAATGGCGTTTATCAAACTTGATACATAATATACTATTAATCATTTACCGGATATTATAAAAAATCTTAATGCAAAAAAGTTTAAAATTAAAAGTATACTTTTAGAAAAGGAATATTATTCAACCAATAAATATTTATGCGTTTATGCATTTATTGAGTGCCACGTCTGATATGTGACAGACAGTGCCATTTCCTGAGGGGCCACGTCTGTCATATATGCAAGACAGACAATATTCACTACCAGGCCGCGTCTTGCAGATATGCTTCAGCCCGTTACTAAAAACCTGTTGCTAACTTTAGCCCGTGACTAAAATGCCGTAAAGCCACAACTTGTCAATGTGTATTTAAAAGGTCACTTTGTGTCATGGAAACATGTACGATAATCGGAGTAAGGTGGGAGTAGAAAAAAAGTTATATCAAACCGCCCAATAGTGTGGCCATTGTGGGGAGTCTCTGGCAATAAATAAAAACACGAAATATGAAATTAAATAAAAATTTGTTATTTCTAAACATAATTAATATGCGCATTAGTTTCTGGACCTCTTAGGCTTAATACTTATTTCCCTTCCTGATAGAGCCTCAGTCAAAAAGAGTTTCGCGACTGCCTCACGCATATACCAACATTTTTCGGAATTGTTTGTGTTCTACATTTCTTTTAAATTGCATTTTTATAAGTTTCTTCTTGTGCATTCGATTCATTACTTTTAGCTATATAATACTTACTTTTATTATTTTAACTAAAATTATACTTTTTATATCTTTTAAAAGTAACTCTAAAATCTTTAATAATTTAATTTACTTTTACTTTTACTTTTGACCTTAATTTTGTTGCCTATTTTAGAAAAAAACAATTTAAAAAAATTGTGTGAATTCACTAAATTTTTTATGTATTTTTAGTATGTAGTAAACAATTACCTACAATTTAAAAAAAACGATCTAAACATTTTGTCCAAGTTATCGCATTTTCAAGAAAAAATGTCACTCGTAAAAAGAGAAAAATCGATGTTTCTGTCCATTTTTCAACAATTTTCTACGGGTGAACAAAACAACTTCGGTAGAGAAACTGTACAAAAAAATTCGTTGAAAAATAACGACCTACCCCTTTTTGCTGGGTTGATTTAAGATGGAAAGACCCCATATTAATTAAAATTTTAAATTTGAAAATCGTTATCTAAAGGTGAAAATAAAAGTGTAACGTGTCACGCTTTGCAATTAATCTTTACTAGGCTTACTGGATTATTAACTTCCAGCTCGCCATTCCACGCGTAACGGATAGGACAGTTGCCGTGTTTTTATTTACAAAATAAATATTATATATATATATATATATATATATATATATTTTATTATATTACCAATGTCAAATTTTTATAAATAGTTCTAAACTAAAGCTGTTTAACAATGTTTTTATTTGGCAAAATAAGGTATCGTGGTTGACTGTTTAATTCCTTAAAAACTAATAATTTAAAGCGTAACGGACGGGACTATTACAAAGTTTGAAGTCCTAAAATATACCATAATTTGTGCCATAATATTTGTTTGGTGCATACCATAATGTACCATAATTTTTCTAAATGTGTACCATAATTTTTATTTTGAGGTTGGCAACACTGTGTGCCACACAGTGTGTGGGTCCCATGTCTAATAAATGAGATATGGGTGTGCCCAAAATCCAACAGCCGCCACTGGGTAAATTTTAATCTACTTTTGATATTTTATGACAATAATCTAATTAAAATATTTTTTTAGACCAAACAGCTTAATTTTTAATTGCAATCTACGTATATACTTTTGATATTTTAGTATATTTACCTTATTTTTATTAATATTAAATTTATAGGTTTCATTAACGTATTGTAATTTTTACGCCGTTTTCTTAAAAAATACGTAACGCTTTCGTTTTAAAGTGTGGAATAGTATAAATAGTCAAGAATTGGATATAATAATAAAAAATCAATAAAATAAATTTGACATTTTAGTCAATATCCGACTCTTAATGTTAAGAGTCGGATATTGACTAAAATGTCAAATTTATTTTATTGAATTTCATGGGATCGTTCCAGTGTGCGCCGTGTGGCAAAATGCGGGCTCTATAAAATTCCAAATGCTATATGGGCAGTAGTTGACCCGCTTTAAGGAGAATAACGAATAAATGACTTACGGGTAATGTACTTTCAGCTAGTTCCTTGATTGTGTTTCCATGATTTTGGGGACAATATTGCACAGCGGCACAGTGGGCATTTAAGTTAAGAGTCAAGTTATTTAGGATTTCGGCTACACCTTCAATACCAGGGTATAGCAATATTTTTGGGCCAGGATGCTCTTCAGAGAGTTTGGAGTTTAATTTAATAAAAGGTATATTCACAGCACCTTCTTCACCCATGAGAGTGAACAGTTGGTCGATAAAATTAAAATCTTGTTCTTTCAATTCCTTTGAAGTGACTGGTGAGTCAGCTTGGGTCGATTTTCCGTCCTGTATTTCTTGAAGACGTGAGAATGTCAAGCTACGAATGCCTTGTGCGGTTAGAAACACGTCGAACTCTCTTTCTAGGGTTTGTTTAATTTCGACGGCTGTCATAGAGTCCATACCCAACTCGGCCAAAGATAAATGGTAGCTGATGGCTTTCATGTCTTTGATACCTAAAAATGGCAAATTAAAAAGTTAACCTTGCAAATTTAGAATCTTTAAGTTTAAAACAATTTGTTGTATAATATTATGTACCTAGAATATATGCTACGGCGTCTGTGATATTGTCGGCTCCACCAGACCCACTCTTCTTTTCAGCTACTACCATACTAGACACAATAGGTTCGGGGCATCTTAACAGCTTGTCCATAACTTGTAGACAACTGGATATTCTTTGTTGCAATGTACCACCAATTTCTATTTCGGTGTTTTCTTCCTGCATGTCAGCCACTAAACCAACCTAAAAAAAATAAATTAAAAAATTTAAAAAAAAAATGTATTTTACCTCTCCAATAGCTCCCCATTCAATAGCAAGAGCAGGTAAACTTTCAGATTTCCTCTTTTCGCAGATTCGTTCCATTACAGAGTTGGAATAGCCATAATTAGTTTGACCAGCATTACCACGACCACAAGAAACTGAAGAAAAGATAACAAAGTCCCTAGAAGTAAAAAATTATTAATAAGATTACATTTTTTCTCAAAACATTACTACATAATAAGGTCTACCTTAACTTGTGTAACATACCATAATTTGGTAGTAAACTTACTTTAAATTTGGACATAATTCTCTAGACAACTCATCCAAATATTTTAAAGCTAAAGCCTTAGGTTTGTACGATTCCCTGAACGATTCCACACTTTGGTTTTCAAACAAAGAATCCTTTAATACAACAGCCAAATTAAATATAGCTTTGATAGGTCCTAATTCATTTGCTGATTTTAAAAGTTTTTCACAGCCCTCTTTGGTTGTGATGTCATCAGTATTTACATTGACCAAAGCTCCATAACTCTTCCAGATCCTTTAAAACAAGGTTTAAAATTTGATAAAAAAAATTTACTGAACTGCTCGTCATAAAAATCGACGCACCTAGTTTTTTGGAAAATATTTAAAAGCTCGTTATTAGAAAATTACTGAATCGATTTTGAAAATCTTTGAAAATTCTGAATAGCTGATTCTTTGACTCTTATGTCTAATTTTGGGAATACGATATTTTGCACATAGCATTATACTACAGGGTGTTAAACGAAGAGATGTATTTTTTCCGAAATTTCAAGTTATTCCCATTCATGAGGCAGTTGAGTTTGATAGTCGTAATACCCCTCCTTAATATAAGTAAGGTAATCCCTCGGAACGTTTTCGAGATTTTGTGAATATCGCGGCTTACTACGATTATATGCCAATTTTTAGAAAATTGTCGGTATTTCCCAGTTTAGTCCAAAAAATGAGCAATTGTGGATTCTTTGACTTACGTCTAATTTTGAGAATACGATATTGTGCACATAGCATTATACTACAGGGTGTTAAAAAAAAGGGATGTTTTTTTTCCAAAATTTCAAATCCCCATTAACAGGGGAGTTGAGCTTGATATTCGTAATACCCCTTTCTAATAACAGTTAGGTTATCCCTCGGGACGTTTTCGAGATTTTGTGGATATCTTGGTTAACTACGATTAGGTATATGACAATTTTTCGAAAATTCACGTTATTCTTCATTTTAGTCCAAAAAATGAGCAATAGTTGATTCTTTGACTCTTATGTCTAATTTTGGAAATACTATATTGTGCACATAGCATGATACTACAGGGTGATAAAAAAAGAGATGTTTTTTTCCAAAATTCCAAATCCCCATTCACAGGGCAGTTGAGCTTGATAGTCCTAATACCCCTTGGAAGGAACCTAATAACAGTTAGGTAATCCCTCGGGACGTTTTCGAGATTTTTTGGATATCTTGGCTAACTACGATTATATAGCAATTTTTCGAAAATTGTCGTTATTCTCCACTTAATTCCCAAAACTAAGCAAATTACTAAAGGTATCGATTAACAACACATCGTTTCCCCAATTTGCAAGTTCTTGTGCCCATCTTCTTCTAGCAGAAAAAGAGGGCAGGCAGCTCTTCGTCTTGCGTGGTATGCAACCTTACATCCGTCATTTTTTTTAAATGTGTTTTGCTGTTTGAAAAATGTTTTCATATTCGATGATAAAAATGAAGGGAGGAAACTCAAAACCAGATATGCGCCTTAGTCAACCGTTTCATAGTCAACCGTTTGTAGAAAATTGCATGAATATAGCCTGCATAAGTTTACGAGAATAATTTTGTTTGGATTACACCGAAAAAAATTGCTTTTGTGCGAAACATTTCACTTTTAATGAATCACGCAACGTACATCAACTGGAAGCACGTGACCTACCTTAAAACGCTGTGTTGATACCTTCAGTAGTTTGCTCATTTTTGGGACTTAAGTGAAGAATAACGTGAATTTTCGAAAAATTGCCATATAATCGTAGTTATCCAAGATATCCACCAAATCTCGAAAATGTCCCGAGGGATTACCTATTATTAGGATGGGGTATTACTATCAAGATCAACTGCCCTGTGAATGGTGATTTGGAATATTGGAAAAAACATCTTTTTTTTTAACACCCTGTAGTATAATGCTATGTGCACAATATCGTATTCCCAAAATTAGACGTAAGTCTAAGGATCCACTATTGCTCAATTTTTGGACAACTGGGGAATAACGACAATTTTACAAAAATTGTCAAATAATCGTAGTTAGCCAAGATATCCACAAAATCTCGAAAACGTCCCGAGGGATTACCTAACTAATATTAGGAAGGGGTATTAGGACTATCAAGCTCAACTGCGCTGTGAATAGGGATATGGAATTTTGGAAAAAACAACTCTTTTTTTAACACCCTGTAGTATAATGCTATGTGCACAATATCTTATTCTCAAAATTAGATGGAAGTCAAAGAATCCACTATTGCTCATTTTTTGGACTAAAGTGGGAAATAAAGACAATTTTCAAAAAATTGGCATATAATCGTAGTAAGCCTTGATATTCACAAAATTTCGAAAACGTTCCGAGGGATTACCTTACTTATATTAGGAAGGGGTATTACGACTATCAAACTCAACTGCCTCATGAATGGGAATAACTTGAAATTTCGGAAAAAATACATCCCTTCGTTTAACACCCTGTAGTATAATGCTATGTGCAAAATATCGTATTCCCAAAGTTAGACATAAGAGTCAAAGAATCAGCTATTCAGGATTTCCAAAGATTTTTAAAATCGATTCAGTAATTTTCCAATAACGAGCTTTCAAATATTTTCCAAAAAACTAGGTGCGTCGATTTTTATGACGAGCAGTTTACATCAACATACCTAATTCTCATAGATTGATACCCAGTTCTCACCCCCGTTCTGGAAGTTAGTACAATTTTTCTAGCACCTCTAAGAACCAACCAATCAGCTAATTCCAGACCAAAACCTCCCAATCCTCCAGTGATGATGTAGGAGAAGTTGGGGTCACAGAAATACCTTGGAACTGCCTTGTGTAAGGACACAATAGGTTTGAAAACTTTTTCTGGTTCTTCCTTCCTGAGTTGTACCAGTACTTTACCCATATGTTTACCTAAAGGAAAGAACCGAGTTTTGCATAGAGTTTATTGATGTTGTCTAGATACTTTAAACAGTTTTAAGAAGGTTTAGGACTTTTCGGATAGTTTAATAATATGCTTACCTGTTGTCATATACCTAAAGGCCTTCTCTAGCTCGTCATCTTTAAATACGATTCTATTTAGTGGCTTAATGGCTGCATTTTTTAAGCATTGATCAAATAAAACACAAACTTTTTTCTTTGTGCTAGGAGACTCTGTGAAAAGTGAGTCCAACATCACACCGTGAAAGCTCTGTTCTTTAGTGAAATCCAATAATTTTAATCTGTTGTCATTTGCCAAATCGAATTTTCCAATTTCGACAAATTTTCCTCCGAAACCTAGGCAACGAACTGAGGCTTGAAGTTTTTCTTCAGCTAAGGAGTTAAGCACCAAGTCTACACCTTCTCCTTTAGTTTCCTGCATGATAAGGGTCTCGAATGATGTGTCCCTTGAGTTGCCGATACGGTTATCTGAAAAGAATATTAGTTATTTTATGTTTGACATTCCAAGACAGGTTTTAGGTTTTTATTACCGGTAAGTTGAGAAAATTGTTTCTTGATAAAGTCTCGTTTTTCTTGGGTTCCCACAGTAGTAAAAACTTGACAGCCAAAATGTATTGCCAACTGTATAGCAGCTTGACCAACACCTCCAGTACCGGAGTGGATGAGAATCTTGTCTCCTTTCTTCATACCAGCCCTCTTAAAACAAAAATGGTAATATTTAAATCGAATTTTCAAACCTTTGCACCTTTTTAACAAAAATTGAATATTTCTTACATAAAACAGGCCATAAATGACAGTCAAATACACGCATGGTACGGTAGCTGCTTCTTCCATGGTCCAATAATTTGGTATATCGAATAAGAAATAGTTATCTGCTATATTGATCGTCGAAAAAGCACCATTGGTCAAAAGACCAATAACCCGTCTACCACTGAAAAAATAAAATTGTTTTAAAACTACGATAAATAAATGCATATTCCAACATTAAAAAAATGTTTTAAAAGAATTATTTATGGAAAAATATAATAAATTTAAACTTACGATTTTGTTCTTCCAGAAAATTCAAAACCTTGAACATTTTCTTGCTCAGGTCTGTATTTTGTGATAACATCAGGTGTGATTTTCCCTGTAGCTGTCATTACATCCCTGAAGTTAAGGGCAGCATAGTATGTCTAAAATAATGTTCGTCAATATTTATCAAGCTTTATAGTTTTGTTAATTTACAAAAACTAATGTTTTCTCTGACGGCATCACATATTTAGCACTTAGATGACCTTCGAACCATGTAAGGGAAGATAAATCGCCTCTAGTTGCAATATTAACGTATCTATGTTCAGTCAATACTTTAGGATTTTCTTCCAATGCTAAATGCCTATATGTTCCCCATGTACCATTTTTGTACACATTTACAGTCAAATTTTTTTTCAGTTGCTCACAGTAAAAGGGATGGTATTGGTCGAAAGTGGGAGTTTCTTCGAAGGTTTGAATGCATCTGATGGTGTTGCCACCTGGTTCTCTACGTAGGCAGTTTACCATACCTTAAAAAACTCACAATTAGTATTATCGACATAATTTTAGTCAAAAAACAAAACTTACCTAATAGACCACTTTGTGGTTCATTTAGTGCATAGACCAAAACACTTTCTTCTTTACCGACCGATTGTTGTAAAGTTTGTACCCAGTTAAAGTCCTCCTTAACATTCTCTATATTTACTGGCGTAACTCTCTTAAATTGCTCAGATTTTCTTAAGAGGTATAACTTTTCGGTTTTGGTGTTATGTGTGGTAAGTATTTGCATGTTTTTATTAAAGTCTGCGTATGTGCAGTCAGCTTTTTCGCGTGAGATGATAAAACCGTTTTCTTTGAGCGATTTAAAGGCTGTTTCCAGACGTTCTGGGTTTGATAGAGCATTGCTGAGTACAACTACGAGGCAATCGGTTTGGGATTTTAACTTATTGTCTTCAACAGTAACATTTTTTAATTCTAAAGGTGTTTTTGACAGTACTGTAACCTCTGCTTGAATAACAGGCTGGTCACCTAATACATCAAAAATCAAAGGACCTAAAGGTAAACTATCTTCCATTGTATTTTCATCTATTAGCTCCACAACTTTGACTTTTATTTCGAATTTGTTTTCCAACACGATTTGCATGTTGACTCTGGTTGAGTTTTCGATTGTTAGGTTGGCTACATTGGATACAAATTCATACTTTTCTAGAACCGGCTCACCTAATGGTTTACGACGAGGGATAGCAGAAGCTGAGAGACCCTCCACTTGGATACCACCTGATCTGGAATTAGAAGAAATTTAGTGTTAAACTATCTCATAAACTATTTAAACATTTTTATTTACCTTATTACTCCTGAATGTGGACACACATAAGCATCCAAATGACTTTCCTCCATGGTTCCATTAGCTTGAATCAAATCCAAATGATGCTGTGGGTTGATGGTCAACCTTCTGATCTGCGTGGGTACGTACAAAAGTCTAGAATCGAAATCCAAAATCTTCATCTGTAGGAGGTTATCCATAAAAGCAACCCAATTGTTTTGCCACTTGATTTTACCCTTGCTGACTTCACCATTAACCTCTTCTAAACCTCTAAAAAGACCGCTATAGTTATAACCTCTAAGACGAAGTTCCTTATAAATGTCCTTAGTTTTGAGTGGAAGAACTTTTTCGTCATCCACTGAAACCGTTTGTAAGGTTAGTTGTTCGTTTTTAACTTTGTTGTGGAACTGGATGTTTCCTGTTACCACAGGTTGGCCACCTTCAGCAATCTAAAAATAATTAATATCATGTAACCTTAAAATAAATACTGGACTTGAACATTCTAAACTCAAATTAAACATGCACAAATAAAAAATTTCTTGCCAGATACTTACTTCGAAATCACCAGTTCCTTTCTGAATCATGACAGTCAATTCGACTGATCCTTCTTTTACGCAGTTAACCGCTCGCAAGAATTTGCAGTTGGTGAAAATCACGCAATTTTGAGCTAATTCGTAGCCGAAACACCATCTTAATGTTTCCCATATGATGTTTAGATAACCAGTGGCTGGGAATAAGTTTCTACCTTAAAATATAAAATAAATTTAGATTTTTTATTACGCATGTAAACCTTAACTTTGTTAACTTAATATACATACCATCGATAACGTGTCCAAGGGCAAAATTCCATACACAATCTTTGCCAAAGATAACCTCATAAATGATGGCACGGGAATTTTCTTTGTGTCCAATATTTTTAAAGTTTGCTGTTTCCCATTCTTGGGAATGATTCCAACGAATTGCTGGTGAAATGGAACTTGTACCTCTGCTTACTGGAAAATGTACTTGAGAATACAATTTGGATATGCTAAAGTTTGAACCTACTTCATACAAACTGGGGAAGAAAAAAAACAATATATTAAAATAAATTTCATATCACTTGTTAAACATTTGTTTGTCAGTACCTTCCCAGGGCTTTTAGGAAACCAACAAAGTAGCTCTGGTTGAAATTTTCAATATTAACAGAGAGGGTATAGTTTTCTGTAGCTTCATCCACTGAGCTTTGAAGGTATCCTTGGCCAATTTCGAAAATAGCACTCTTTACTTCAATATTACAAGCCAAGTCTTTCAAAGATGTTGTACTAGTTAAACTATTCACAAAGAATTCAGCGGATGCCTTAGTGTTACTCTTTAAAAGATGATTGTTTGAGAATGATTTTGGTTGTGGAAGTATCTTGAAGAGATCCTGAATAATATGAGGTTCTACAAAAATTAAAAAAAAAAATGTAATTAAATTACAACTTTTTTTAAAACATCTTACTTAGTGTCAAGAAGTTATCACCATGAAAATCAATAATGTTAGCTCCTAAATCTTTCACTTGAATGTTGTGAGCAACCAATTTACCAACAAAATTATTTACAGACTCAGGGTGTCCAGAAATAATAACACTATTCTTAGAGTTAATGGCTTCAACATACACCCTTTGTGGTAAAATTTGGTTTAACTGTTCCAGATTCAAATTAACCATGTAAGAAACAGCACTTTGATCAATATTTTCCACGTTTTTGGAGATGGTGAAAGCGATCAATACAGCTTGTTCCAAAGTGAGACAATCATCATAATATGCAGCCACTATTTCACCTAGAGAATGACCTATATATCCACTAGCTTTTACGTTCAGAGCACTCAGGACTTTAGTTAATGCCAGTTTTACCAAGATAGATCCCAAAACATTATCAAACACTGCATTGCTTGGGTTTTGAATCAAATAATGGACGTTTATTTTAAATGAGAGCAGAATGTTTTGGATTCTGTGGAAAAAAATAATTGACTTTAGTATTTTTTGTATCTAGCATAACAATAAGAGGCAAATAAAACGAAAAAAATTACAATTTATGATAAATAATACTTACCAGTGGCGGTTTCTCTATAGGAGCACATGAGCACGTGCACCCCCATACAGAATTCAATAATTAATATAATTATTTTTTGTAAAGTTTCCGAGCCTCCTAAATAATTATTATCGAACCGTTCCCAAGCGCCTTAATAATTATCTCGCTTACGTCGAAACGGAATGAAACAAAGGATCTTTTAAAAAGAACGGTCGCACGTGTGATAAAGTATTGGTGGCGATATAGTGTGCTCCAAAACCAGTTTGCCACTGATTGCCTTGTTTAAATTTCGTAATTGTAATTGTAATAAGTGCCTTTCTACGTTTACCGATTTTATAAATATATATTTTATTTCATCAATTATTACATTTTTACGGTGGAGTACTGAGTAATGAGGCTGTTTAAACAAAATGATAAAATATAAATAGCCTTCTGTTCTTTCTTTAATAAATACATAATATGTATGATATTATATCAAAGTTTAATATAATATTTTGTATTATTTTATAAGCTTAAAAAAGTAATAATAGTCGTGCTACAAAAAAATTCCCTGTGGCTTTGTAAAATTTGTGAACGTCCTTTCTCATAGATCATGAGCATCCACTGATACTTACTCGTTAATAGCATTCCGATACACCTCCACCCCCAAAAAGTCCTGCCCAACATTTCTCCACGAACTCTCATAGCCTCCAAATATGAAATATAGCTGTCTGGGATTACCAACATGCTTTGTCGACCTTATAAATTCGCCATTATTGGAAAAAATAGAATAACCTCTATGTGTATGATTTTTAATTTCTCTTTCAAAGAGATTATGAAGGAGGGCGATATATTCTTTATCTTGATTGAATTTGGCGTCATTGAAGAAGGTTTCAACACCTTCTGTGAGACGAGAGCTTACGCAAATAAGACGTGGGAGGTCTTCCGGTTTTAGGGAGACATCTTTTTTGACCTTTGAGTGCCATTTGATGAGGACGTGACCGTTTGCACCACCAAAACCAAAGTTGCTTATACCGATGAGTCCGTTATCATCTTCAAATGGTGTTTTTTCAGTTACAACCTTAAAACGGCCTTCTTTAAAGGCTGGTACGTCATCTCTATGCTCTTTGAAGTTAATATTTGGAGGAATATATCCAGACTCAAACCCAATGATACTCTTAATAACTGAACAAAGACCTGATGTGGGTTCCGTATGTCCCATGTTGGACTTAACAGAACCAATCATCAAAGGTTTAGTACGCCTTTCAGCGAAAACCTCATCAGTAGCACTCAACTCCTCTGGATCACCAACTTTCGTACCCGTACCGTGAGCTTCAAAATAACTTAAATCATTGGAATCAACCTCGCATTCACTGTAAAACTCCTTCAACAGTGTTTTCTGTCCTTCCTTCGATGGGAAAGTAATACCATGCTCCTTGTACCCATCACTGTTAGTTTTAGAGTGTACAACAGTGGCGTAAATGCGCTTGGCATCCTTGGACCTTTGCAAAAATACACAGGCTATAGCTTCAGAACGCGCATAACCATCGGCGTCTTTGTCGAAGACTTTGCATCTGCCATCTTTACTTAGTACACCCAACCTATAAATAGAGGGCAATTTAAGGAATCAAACACAATAACCCCTAACTTACCTAGCAAACTGCAAGTTGGGATTGGGATGCAAATCTGCGCAAGCGCCACAAACTATGGCGGCATCACATTTGCCTTGTCTTATGGCTCTGAACGCATTGTCCATAGCCGTCATAGAACTACTACAGGCTGTATCCAAAGCAAGTGAAGGTGCTTGTAGCTTCAAGAAATAACTAATCCTTGTGGTCATCATGGAACGCAATACTCTGCAAAATAATTTCAAAATATGATTAATAATGTAAAATAAATAAACTATTTTAAGGATTCTTACCCAGTAAGAGCTGTTGCACTCTCAACACGTTCTAAAAACCACAATTCTTCAGTTTCTGAATTCGTAGTTCCTATAAAGACTCCGGTTCTGGTACCCTTTAAATCTCTGGGATTTATACCGGCATCGCAAATAGCTTCGACGACCTTTTCAAGGCACATTCTTACCATGACACACATATATTTTGCCTGTTGAGCACTAATACCTATAACCAAAATAAAAGTCTTGTTTTATAAAAATCGACTGCAAAAAAACCCGCATCCAAATGCGACTAATATTAACCTAGTTGTGGCTGTTGCAGCTGTGTAAATTTAGTGTAAAAGTGGCATTTAGCAGAGTTAAGAGCAAATGTTAGTTAGTTACATTTCAGCATGGATAATTTTGGATTTTGAAGATGTATAATTTTGTTCTAAAAGTGGATTTATGGAATGTACTGGTAAAATTTGATAATTTTTATGATTGTTTCAAAAAAGGGGACATTTTGGTTTTTCCAAGTAATTTTTGGCGTAAAAATGAAAAAATTTAATCAAAAATGCCCATTCTGATTCGATAAGGGAAAAATATTACCTATGTATTTTTGGTATTCTTACCAAAAAATCCTGGATCAAACTTGTCGACAACCTTCATTTTCCCAGTTCTTTTAGGGATTTCTTCGTTGGTAGTAGCCCATCTCAATCCAGCATCGGTAATAAGATCGACTTTATTGAACAATTTTTCCTTTAACTCGTCGACGTTTTCGCAATCGGGGAAAGACCCGGACATACCAGTGATGCAAACCTCTTCGCCAGGTTCAGGGTGGGATAAAAACCTCCCGAATTTTAAAGCGATGTTTTCATTTGGATCGACTTTTTTATCGTTTGTGGAAGACATCTAGTATTAAGTACTAAAGTTACTAAAACAAAATATGTAACGTTTACAAACAAATGATTTTAGGTTCGATCCATATTAAATCAACAAATGATGGTTGCTGTTTTACCTATGTTTTATACTATTCTAGAGAATTGAAAATAGGTACTAAATTTTTTAGATGTTCACTTTTTTGTGAGCAGTCACTTTGCATTGGTGCAACGCTAAAGAGCAATATTAGTACAGTACAATATTTTCTCTGCCGTATTTATAGGCCGACCAATTGTAAATAAACAAAAATAATATGTAAATGTAAAAACTTTTTTACAATTAAAAATGTTAAAATATAAAACTAAGAGTCTCAGTGATAAGATTTTAATCACTTATTACAATACAATAAATTTTGGTTTTTTTATGTCTAAAGCCCGCTGCACAACAGCCCGGTAACGGGAACGGGAACGGGAACGGGAAACTAAGCGGTAAAGGTGGGAGAGACCAAAGATAATACACCCCATAGATTGGAAACTCTCCCACCACTGCCCTCTAGAGCTACAATACATGAACTATATCTATTTGTAAATTGCAGACATCTGTACAAACGCTATTTGCAAATGTCAATGTCAATCAAAATTATTGATGAATTTTTAAATTATTAAATACATTTTTGGGCCTTAAAAGTGATAAAACGTGTTAATGGTTTTAAAATGTATTGTTGTTGGGCGCGGAAATTTTGTAAGTATTGACTATCCTGCCGTCCTAAGCCAAAAAGACTCATCTCGTTATTATTAAATTATTCTCTTAGAAAAAAGACGCATTTTAACTATACATACATTTTTAAGTACTATAGCTCCTAAAAATTTCTAATTAAATTGAACGCATCTTAGAAAAAAAAAATAAAGCGCTATAATTTATAAAGTAAAAATGTGGAGTTGCGCCTTTTTGGCTAAGCACGGCAGTATCGCTCTAGCGTAAAAATACTTTTTGTTAATTATGAATTATTTAGGATTGCTTATTTAATGGTAATTTAGTCCAGGCCAAGCACAGGCTACTTATGGTTGTTTCAAAACCAATACACTGTTCAAAATCAAGCCTTTTGAAATACCTAATCAGAATTAGTTACGGAAAAATAAGGTAATATGCTTAAACGAGAAAAGCAATTTACCTTCTCGTTTATTAGGCAGAAACGAATGCCTTAGTTCTATGGTGTATTTACTAACTTATAGATAAATATTCATACTTTACTTAATAAACTTGTCAAATTAAAAAAGATATGCAGATTACCTAAATATTTAGTCAAAATCTCAATTACTTTTAGGTACGACAATTTTGTTTTTAATTTAGGTAATTCTTCTAAATTATTATGGCAAATTATTGAACTAATTTAGGTAAATTCCTTTAAATATTAGTGACTTACTTGCAATCGGCTACGATCGCTAATACCGACGTTTTACAATAAATATTCGCGCCTATATTGTCCACCAGAATGCCAAAATCAACGAAAGCTTAAAGGCCGCGTTGTGTGCTATTGATATAACAACATAGTTAACAATTATTGTGCTATAAGTGAACATTTTGTATACAATAGTGCTATAGTGCTATAGTGCTATAGTTAAGTAATCCAAAGTAAATGAAATTTCCCATTGACCTCAATTTATTTTTAAATAATCCCAACCCTACAGGGTTGGGATTATTTAAAGGGTTCCGTACTACATGTAGTACCGGAACCGCCGTTGTTAATTCGCCTAGGACATACAGATGAAGGAGTCCTAACTTGGAAGAATATTCCTATGCTAGGATTTTCACTAAAAATATATATAATTTGCCTGAAAACTTAGCTGAAATCTACCTTAAAATTTAAGCAAATTGCCTTAAAAATAGGAAATTTATTCTTTTATTCTCAGGCAATATCCCTTACGATCTAAGGTGTATCATCTTTGAAACCTAAGTAATGTTGCTTAATTAATTTTATCATTTTCTTTAAAAATATCAGTTAAAGAATTCACTAATTTAAAAGGGGAATATTCCTCTGAATTCATTTCAAGCAGTTTGCCTTAAAAAATCAATGGTCCTATATAGTCTAATATTTTAGGTAAAAATTAGCTAAAATTTTGAACAGTGTAGTTGGTACTGTGGATTTTTCACGGTTGGTTAGAACTTGCCAAAAGTCCACACTCAAACACCTTGTACAAATTCCTTTATGTATATGTATAAGTAGCCTGGACTAAATTACCAAAGTTTGCAATATTCTCTTATTATTGAAGAATTAAGACTAATATTTTTTGGGTTTGCACTCCACAAACAAAAACATATTCATGTATACCGATTATGTATTTAATATGTACATATAGATGCATGTAGTTTATTTTATATTATATTATTAATACAATAAATAAATCTTATATTCATACTTGTTTAAAATACAGCAGTAAATACAATATATAAAGGCACCCTACGAAGCATCAACATTCAAATATGGCGCCAATATATGTTAAAGAAATCTACTTCAATTTTTGGCATTGCTAAGGGTATTGTAGACCTAGATGGCGTTAATTTACTTTAACCTTTTGCCGCTAGCGCTAGTGCAGTTTCCAATCTATGGGGTGTATTATCTTTGGGAGAGACTCAGCGAACCCTATCGATCAACAGTGGTTTTTAAGTCTCTCCCACCTTTATTGTTAGGATTCCCGTTCCCGTTCCCGTTACCGGGCTATTGTAAAAAGTAGCAATTAACCACTAAAGATTATTTTAATTAAAAAAAAATATCCTTTATTACAGAAAAAAAAGCAAATAAAACTAAACATTGAATTGAAATTTGTTGAAAATAAACGGTAAACGTTAAATATATATGGGTTCTTTTTGCAAAATATCCATTTACAAAATAATAAATGATTTATAAAGTTAAATTACAAAATCATAATTTTATAAATCGATGTGTCAAATAAAACGATTGTTAATACAACACCGAATATGTTTTTTTGAGGACCGGTAAAATATTTTTTCTGAATTAAAATAATAGTATATTATTATACGATAGATAATGCAGGTTATTATTCACGAGGATGAGGTTTGCGTCTCAAGTTGCCAGACGAGAGACTTAAATCATCCGAATGAGTAATGCGCATAATCTCGAGTAATATCGAGTAATAATCTCGAGTAATATATACTATACTTTATCTACTCCAATAAGTAGAAAATTAAATGATTTTCAAAAATAAATATATAAAATCTGAAATATGTCAAATGGTTAACCTCACTTTTTACCAATTTTAAATTTTATTATAGTCGCCTTCTCCCAATTTAAAAACGGATTAGTTCAAATCACAGTAAATATTGAAATCGGCCAATCACTGATGCCTAACAACGTGAATAATGATTTCATTATTCCCGTTGTTAGGCAGGGAATTTATAAGTTTATCATTATTCACAAAAAAAATATGCAATACACTGAGAGAAAAAAATGGTTTTTATTACCAAATCTGCATTTTTATAACCAAATGCTTTATTCAGTATTTGACTTACAAACGGCTACGTTATTAAAAACAAATGATTAGCTTCAAGACATTTGGTCATATTTACTTAATAATTTGTTTTTGGTTATTAAAACCAAACCAATTAGTCGTAATAAATAAGTTATTTATTTATAAGAATCAAATTTTTATTTAAAAAAAATATATTTATTTATAAAAAACAAATCATCTTTTTTTGTTAACAAATCGTTTTGTTTTAAAAAATAAGTAATATACAGGGTATTTTAGACTTGTGGTGCCAAAAGCTCAGGGGAGATTCCTCTCAAGTATGAAAAAAAGTTTTTATGAACATGTGTCCGAAAATGATTCGATTCCGAGATACAGGGTGTTTGTTTTTTTTTTAATTGAGTTTTTTATTTATAGCTTAAAAAAACTTTTTTATACATTATTATGATTATTTTTGTATATAACAAAAAAGTATCAAATTTAAACTTTTTTTTTTAAATAAAACACCCTGTATCTCGGTAACGAAGCATTTTCGGACACTTGTTCATAGGAACTTTTTTTTCATATTTTGATGAGAGGAATCTCCTTCGAGCTTTTGGCACCACAAGTCTGAAACACCCTGAATTATTAAAACAAAACATGTATTTTTATAATTTAGCGTTTTTATAAAAATTAGGGTTTTCTATATTAAATAACACTCGGCCATTGATAACAATACATTTTATTTTAATAAAAAATAAAAAACATGTTCCTTAAAAAACATGTTTGCAAACAAAAACTTTTTTTTTTGGTAAAGTAAACTAAACATCTTAAACTTAAGTAAACTAAACATCTTAATTTAAAATTCTTAAACTTAAAAAACATAACTCTGTTAAATTATTTTCAATCAAAAATGTATCCATATTTACCTAATTTAGGTATAAACTATACAGCACGTCCGGACGCGTCCATTCCCTTTGCACAAACTAACACAATGGCCGAACTAAAGCATCTACGGCGAATAATCAACGTGTTTTATCCTGCATTTGTTTTTTATAAGCAAGCAACAACTCGATTTATTCATACAAACTCTATTTGAAAATGGTTTGTTATTATTAAACTATATTTGTTTTTTATAACCAAATACAGTGAACCAAATCATTTTTTCAAAATAAACTTGAGTAATTCTGAATATAGTTACTAAGAAGTGCTGATTTGGTATATAAAAGAATTATTTATTATATTTTACCAAATATAATAAAACAAATCATTTTTTAACTATACCCAGACTATTTCTCTCGGTGTAGGAATAGATAAATGAAATAATTATTTTAATCCTAATATTATACGATTTTAATCAGCGTCGGGTATTCACTTGTTTCTCGATATTAGTGTACAGATATTATCCGTAAAAAATTGTAAATTTTCCGGTAATGAGATATTTCAGATTGAAAATAACCGATTTTAGATAAATTGTAATATTTAAATGCCCATTAAAAAGAGAGGCAACTCTATAGAGTTTTAGGCTATGGATCTATTATAGCTAATAGCCTAAAACTTTTTAATAAAGTA